AGGCATGTTGCGACCTGGGGGATAACGGTAGACATGGCCCTTAGGAAGCATCTGCAATTAGCATCAAGACAAATATATCTTGGTAAGAAATCTAATACAGGTGAAAAAGCAAGATATGTTGAAATGTAGTAGTAAAAAAGAAAAACCATCAACAACATCAAGATGCTAGCAGTCAACCCGTGCCTGCAAGAAGGGAAGTGGTTGCTGTGGTTGTTGCATCAGGCCAGCTCCAGATCGTCTGCCTCCTGGGCGCTGATTCTGCTGTCCTGGCTGAACCATTGGCATGAAAAAGTTTGGCCTCATGCCAGGAACTAGTTGCTGCTGATACCCAAATCCAGGCTGTTATAAATTACAGAAAACTTATCAACTTATAGCATCCAAAACCTAAAACCACAAACACAATCATATTTTTTCAGTTGGACATACTCAAAGGCAATATGGAAACAGATATTGCAACTATGTAATCTGTGCAGGTAGATGGATGACTGGGAGAGTGAGATCCAGTGGATCAGTGAAGAAGCTGAAAGGAAAGGCCATGGGGAATTTACATACATATGATCTGCGTAAAGAGGAGCAGGATACTCTACAACTCAGAAGGATGCACAGAGTAATGAGGCAGATTAAAGATGTAGTAAGGTTGAGACTAATAGGTGTAAAGAATATAGCTCTAGACCATGTAAATCAAATACTATGGACAGATGGGAATTGAGTAGAGATCTATTTGTACAGTAATTGGACACTGTTGTGAATGCTTGTAGCAGTTTTTACTGCTTCTTGGATAATAAATACATTACTTATCAAAAAAAAAAAAACCACAAAGGACAACACGAATGGACATTGCATGTTCTCAAGTAACAAAAAGTAGTCACACTTCGCCATAATGAAAGGACAGCAGAAGTTAAGAATTAGTGTCAGCAAAATCAGAGATGAAATATGAATTGTCAGCCAAAATTGCCTAAGAAAAAGGTCAAAACCAAAACTCTGCTCTTGGGAATTTAAGCTTCAAAGCTCTCACATTGAAGAGTTACAATCCTTTAACTAGCGAATAAATATTATATCAAATGTACACCAAAGAATTTACTAATAATAGTTTCCAAGGTTATAACTTATGATCATCCTTGAGAAAAATAAGAATAAACAATTGAAGTGCCTCCTAATATATAAAATACATTCAAACAAACTTCATCATATAAAGAAGCTGAGATGCACCAAAAAACAGAAAAATCAACTAGAGTTAAGAAAATAATCAACGCATGATCAAGTTGTATTACTTGGGGAGGAATTATAGCAGGAGGGCCTTGACCAAAGAATAGTTGCTGTCCAAGACCTGGAGCACCAGGAGGATACAAGGGCATCCGAGGGCCAACAGCAGGTCCCATTGCACCAGGACGCATTTGAGAAAACTGTGCCTGTACATAAAACAACAAAACCATCCTTACTATAAACCATACATAGCTTATGCTGATTTTAACTCAACATCCATTAAAAAAACATAAAAACCTAGTCTTTTTTAACTAAGCACCACTAACAACAAAGAGAAATAAGCTCAATAAGCTCAATAGACGTGGACTAGTATTCTATATGCATATGTCCCTGTGACCCAATAGTACAAGAAAGAAGCTACTAATATGAATACCTGCAACCTAGCTCTCCTTTCTTCTTTCCTTTGAGCAAGTGCAACATAAAGTGGTTTCCTAACTACCATTTTACCATTCATCTCCATAAGCTACAACACAGAACAAAAGTCAAGAACAATAGGAAAAGAAAAAAGAAAAAACTAGTCAAAAACTTACTTCGGCAAATGAAAACAAAATATCTTACAGCTCTAGATGCTTCTTCAGCAGTTGAAAAGGCAATAAAGCCTGAGCCCCTACTTATACCATTAGGATCACACATAACCTGTTAAGCCCCAAAAGGAGTGGGAGAAGCAGAGAGGCAGAAGAAAAAAAAAGGAGTACACCACACATAAGTTTTATGCTGCAAACTGAAAAATGGAATTTACTAATATTGAACCATGTTACAAACCTTGCATGAAGTGATTGTACCAAATTCGGAGAACAGTTCCCTAAGCTTATCATCATTGATGCTATCATCTAGGTTTTTAACATATAAATTCAGTCCTTCAAATTTGTCTGCTGTTTCCTTTAAAGTCTGCTCATACCGCCCTTTCAGTTCCATCTCTCTTTCAGATTTCTTCTGAGCCTTCCCAACATACCATTCTTTATCATCAAACTTCTTTCCATTGAGAGAATCAACAGAACGAGCTGCATCATCAGGATTCTCAAAGTTGACAAATCCAAAACATTTTGACTTTCCTTCTGCATCTCTCATAATCACAGCACTAGTTATAGGTCCATAGTCACCAAATACATTCTTTAAATCCTCATCAGTTGTTGATTCTGACAGATTCTTTACATAGACATTGTTAAACTTTACCTTGTCTACAGCTGACTCTCTTTCCTGTTTACGAAGGAAAGGTCCAACAAAAACTTGTTTGTCATTAAGTAGCATACCATTCAGCTTATCAATTGCATTTTTGGCAGACTCTTCATTATCAAATTGCACAAACCCATATCCTTTAGATTGGCCAGAATGATCAGTAGCTATCTTGCAAGATAGAATATTTCCAAACGTAGAAAATGTGTCATGTAAAGCTTTGTTGTCAATTGTCTTGTCCAAATTCTTTCAAGAAAACAGATAAAGAATCAGAATCAGCCAGGAGACGAAAAACAATTAATATATGATATAAAAGGGTTCAAGAAAACATCACCAGAGACATTGAAGAACACAAGTACCTTGATAAATATATTCCCTGCCCCACTTTTACGGACAGTGGGATCCCTGTTAGAATACATTATCCTAATTGGTTTGCCATTGAGAGGAGTAAAATTCAGTACATCCAATGCCCGTGCAGCTGTTACGAACAATTATACACAGAAAGATATCAGCAAACATGGATGCTCTGGTGGTCAATTAAAAAATACAAATTTTCATTAGGTTGTTCATGCATTCATGCAGGTTGCACTAACCAAATGCAAGTGAAAAGGACTTCAAGGAGAAAAACTTGATTGTTCAACATACAGGATTGGCAGTAAGCAAAGATAAGCGATGAAGCCACATGAAATTAGGCAGAAACAACTTGAGAACCAACACATATTTCAATTCCCCTCCCACAACCCCCTATCTCCACCACAATCATAAAAGACATAAGAATATTGATCTGCTATCATCCAGCTATTCATTAGATACTAAGAAAACACACGTACATTGATATAGTACCACGCATAGAATAAATTTTAATGATGTCATAATTAAAAAAGCATATAAATATGAAATATACAAACGAGCCTAAATAAACCAAATACTCAGGAAGTGAAAATAAAGAGAAAGACAAAGGTAACCTTCATGGCTGTTGCTGTAATTAACATAACCATAACCAAGAGAGCGACGGGTAGTCAAGTCTTTGCAAACCCTAACCGAAACCACTGCTCCCACTTGGCTAAAGAAATCATAAAGCTGAGATTCCGTCACAGCCAGATCAAGATCCCCAACATACAACGACGTAGTCACACTCACACCATTACTCGCCACCCCATTCACAACCTGCTGCTGCTGTGGCGGCAGCGACGACGACGTCACCGCCACCGGAGCCGCCTGAGTTTGCATTTGAACCTGCGCCATGACCTCCATCCCTTCTTTTTTTTCCTCTTTTTTCTTAAAAAAAGGTTACTGATGATGATAAAACAATAACACAAAACAACTGAATAAATCTTTTTTTGAAATTTTTTGGGATAAAAATATATCGGAGAAAGAAGAGAAAATAACGGGTTTTTTTTAGTTTTTGGGCAGCACGGGCGGCACCGCACCGCGTTCATAAGAGAAGGGAAGATTATATAGTAGGGAAAGTTGGTGGGGCCGACAACTGTCTAACCCTAATTTTTATTCTTTTGATTGATGCGATTCTTACCGTTGATTTGTTTCCTTTGTTGGTTCCCAATCTGATTTAGTTCCTACGTTAGGCGCTTTGACGTCTATTTTCCCTTATAGGGTAAACGGGAGGAGATTCTTCGGTGTATAAATTAAAATTAATTTTGTTATCAGTCTTTTTCAATAATAAAAATTTCCAACCATGCAATATAAATATTTTCTTTTGGCCAGAAATAAATACCAAATTATTTTCAGATTTTTTGAATAGATAGATATTATTGTGCAAGATTTTAATCAAATTGTTATTTTTGTATTTATTATTTTTGTTTTATTCCAAAGAGGAGAATTTACTAAATTATGTTGTTTATTATTTTATTGAATTAAAGTTAGCCTTTGCATGTAAATTTGTATTCCATGGTAGGTGCATGTGTGACGATCCATTCATAAATCTAAATTTATGAGTTTGAGTTTCGATTCATAACTCACGTATCTTATATTATTTTATTCAAAAATTTGATTTAAATTAAAAAAATAATTTTTTTTAAAGAAACAAGATAAGTATAAATATTTTAAAATATTTTAATATTTTTTTCAAAAAAATTATTTTTATATAAAATTTTCTGATTTAATTATTATTTAATTATTTAAATAATATAATTTCGTTGATTGAGCCGTAAAGATCATATTATTTTTTAAATTTAAATTTGACTTTTGTTATCAATAATTTCTTTTCATAAATATAAACTCAAGGTCAATTTTTGTTAAATGTTATGGTTTTAAAATGTGATAGCTTCCTCTTATTTAAATTTGAATGTATAATAAAATTTAAACAGTGTAGCTTTGAAAATTACTGATTTTACATTATTTATTAAGTTCGTTTTTTATACATTAATAATAAATTTTTTAATTTTACAAATTGAATTAAAAATTTTTCATATATTTTATTTTTTAATTTTTTATTATATTCTAAAAGATAAATTTTTTTACTGTTAATAATTAATAAATATGATTTTTTTTCTTATTTATTTAGGCAGAAATTGGAACATTTATTCCGCAAAAAGTTTAACCGTTCCCGAGTCGTAATCAACAGCCGTTTCGAAGTTTAGGCCCAAAATCGCAAAGTCCAAATCAGCGTTAAGTCGGTTGGCTACGCTAATCACTATATCTCCACCTCCAAACAAATCTATAACTCCGCTTTCCGGCCTTCTTCGAACTCTCCGACATTCCCTTTCTCTTTTCCCTTCATCATCTTCACCAAAAAATCCAAACACTGATACCAAGGGGCCACCGCCACGCAAGGAAAAACAGCCCGATAAAAGGATGGACTCAGTTCTCCATACGGAATCCTTCTCCTTCACGCGTCTACGCGCCACTTCCACCTCCACTGCTTCCATTCACCATATGCCTTGCCAGCTCATCTTTAGCCCCGTACACCGCCTCCTCTTTCCCTTATCCACCGTATCCGCTGGTGCTGGTTTTCGCAGGTCATCCGCTTCCGTTGTCGCCTCTAGCGGCACTCTCACCGCCAATTCCGTTTCCGTTTGTTACCTTATCCATTCGCTTTAAAAATTTCTAGCTTTTCTTTACTCTGTTTAGAAATCTTTAGTTAATTTAACTTCTAAGAATTAGCAAGCAATTTGTTATTATTTGTTATTTTTTACATATTTCTTGTCAATGCTTGGATGCCTATTATTGTCAACTTAGCTGAAATTAATACTAATTTGCGAACTTCTTTAGAAGTAAAACATTTTATTTTTGTCAACTTAGGTTTCAATATCTCTACTGTCCTTGATTTGCTGTAGTAAGCTGTAAGTTTTCAGGTGGATTAAACGATGCAAAGACAGTAATTAAGCCCTACAAGTATTGCTTTGATTTGTTTCATTTGAATTGGGATCTTGATTGTAATGCGTTTTGCTTATTATATATTTGTGTGCTTGTGTGTGCGGTCTGAAATAGTGTAGTGCTAAATCAAATGCTTCAGGTAAATAAAATTAGATTGAATTTTTTTTTATTCTCTGTCTGTATAATGATTACCCAAAGGTTTTAAGCATAAAATACTTGATTCACAAGGAAAAAAGCTTTAGCATTGGCAACATGGGATGATGGCTTATATGGTTTTCTAACTTTATTCTTGTTCTCTATATGAACATTTCTTGTTGATTTTGTGTGCATGTAGCAAAGAGGTGGAGTATATACAGTTGGCGATTTTATGACGAGAAAAGAGGACTTGCATGTGGTAAAGCCAACAACAACTGTTGATGAAGGTATTTGTTATGCTTCGTTTATATCTTACAATTTGTTGTATTTTTTAAAATTTTTTATAAAGCTCTAATGCGTTGATCTTCTGTCAACACCAATAGCACTGGAAACTCTTGTTGAACACAGAATCACTGGTTGTCCTGTGATTGATGATGATTGGAAATTGGTATGTTATCTTTCCCTTTTAACTATTAATTAGTTTTTCTTTTGCTAATTTCTAATTCCAAACGCCTAAACTCTTTAAACTATCATGATATCTTGACATTCCCAGATAAGTGGAATTCTAGCATTTGCATTGTCCTACTAGGCCCACGGCCCAAAAGTGAGTGTTCGGTTGGATCTTTGATGTTGTCAATGAAGGGTATAATGCTACTCTTCAAGACTTGGAATTATAGTGTCATTATTCATTAGGTTTAAGCAAATATCTACTGTGGCCTATAGAGACTGTAGGTATACACATATATGTTCCTCCCTTTCTTCATCCTTAATAACTAAAGGTGAGCATATGATGACTTTCTGAGCCTGTTGGCATAATCAAATCTGCTTTATAGATCAACTCATTATTGTTTCTTTATTCCCATGTGATAATGTCTGGAGTGTCAACATTTAGATGCCTTCTTTTTTTCCAAAGTTTGCTATCATGCTTTCATTTGCAGTCAATTTTGGTTGTTTATTTGTTTTGTATATCTGCCTTATCTTTTTGACCTAGTAGATGTTAACTATTACTTTTGGAATAATTGGGACACGTTCTTTGCTGCTGCAGGTTGGACTTGTTTCTGATTATGACTTGCTAGCCTTGGACTCTATATCTGGTAAATTAAAGTTATCTAACGGATTCACTGTGTTATTCATCTTTCTTTTAGTTGTTATTTCCTTATTATGTACAATTTGTACACTCAATATAATTCTATTAGAAGTAGACATACAAATTGTTTATCTTAGTTTGAGCAAAAACTACAGTTTATGTTGAGCATTGAACTTTTTATTGCTTCCCCTGCGGTTTTTAGGATTTTTTTATAGCATAGTGTGGATCAGTTTGTATTAAGATGAGATGCAAGTTTTTCTATGGCAGTTCTGCACAAGAATGTGGTCACTTCTATATTCTTGCTAGCTAATAGAAATTAGAGTAAGCATTGATTGTTATGAAACCAATTTCTTTAATATGATTAAGTAGAACTTTGTGCTTTTTTGAAATGTGTCTTGAATCTGGGATATGTTCATGTAATGATAGTCATTTCTTACATTACATCATTTTATTTGTTCTTACAACCAGGGCGGCGGACTGAGAACGACTTGTTTCCTGAAGTTGATAGCACTTGGAAAGTAAGCGAAAACTGTCTCTCTTCTGAAATAGATGCATTTTTTTAGCAAAAGTCAATGTCTTTCTACATAGTTTTATATTGTTCATTTTCAAAACGTTTTTCTTCCATTGCATCATTATAAACAGAGGTAAGTTTTAGCATCTTGAATCTTGGTAAATAGAAATGAAGTTGTTGCAATTGCTTCCATTAGATTTAAAAATAGGAGATAACATCTATTTTAAGGTTTGAACTGTATATTGCCATAATAAGATCTATTCTTATTGTCTAAATCACTGTGAGAGTTGAGCTCTGTTGCAATTCCTGTTCCTGGAGGATGTGTCAAAACTATATTGTCAGCCAAGCTATGTTGGCCAAGGTTCATCTTCCTGGCTTCCTGAATTTTAATCAAACAATTTTCCTGCCCTGCATTGGTTGATTTATATGGCAGAAAGCTAAACCACCTTGGGCATCTTTCTATTGACTGGTTCATGTTTCTTTTCCTTTTGTAGCAATGGTTCTATAAGTTCTCTTTCTCCTTCAGATCATCATCAAATTTTCCTTTTAACATTCACTTGCTACATAGGCATTTCTAAATCTGCTTATTTTATTTATTTATTTTTTTCTAATAGATCTTTTCCATTTTGACAATATTTGCGGATACAAACCAGATTGTAAACTTTGAGGGTCGCATAACTTGGTTTTCTATTTCAGTTTAATCCAACTGTCTCCAGAAGAACTCATTTGTGCTCATGGTTTAATTTTACTTGTCCAACTGAGTGGTCCTTAATTTTGCAGACTTTCAACGAGTTACAGAAGTTACTCAGTAAAACCAATGGCCAGGTGGTTGGCGATTTAATGACACCAGCTCCGGTAGTTGTACGTGAAACAACTAACCTTGAGGATGCTGCTAGGTGTGTGGACTTATTTTGCCTTTGCTTTGGCATATTTTGATTAACTACTTCCCTAAAATATGCTTCTGTTTTTGTTTTCATTTTTTGGCATAAGAGGAAAGCATTTAGATTAAAATCTAAAGTCTTTATCTAAACTCATATCATCCTGCCACTTCAACCAAGCCGAATAAATTGTCATCAGATACATCGTAAAACAGGTGAAGGAAATTATCAGATTTCTAATTGGTTTATAAACTTTTCAGATTATTGCTGGAGACAAAATATCGTCGACTTCCTGTTGTTGATGCTGAGGATAAGCTGGTAAGTGAAAAAACATGAAAAATTTCCCTCTGATTTAAACAACTTTTGTTTATGTTTTCTTCTGGTGTTTGCTAAGCTCTATTCCATTTCCAAAGGTCGGTATTATCACAAGAGGGAATGTCGTAAGAGCTGCCCTTCAAATAAAACGTGAAACCGAAGGAAAAGCATAACTGGAGAACATCATTCTCAAGGAATTTGAAGCTTTCAATGCAGGAATGAAAATTTTTTTGGTAGCCTTTCTTCATTTATCAAAGGAAAGATCGAAGAAATGAGATTACGTGCATAATATGTTCAATTTCATCCTGTGTTTATATAATTTACATTAATAACATTTTAATTATAAAACTATTTACCATGATTAACACATTGGGAGCGCAGAATTTCATGTCAATGCCTTTAATCCGCCACAAATGCATGAACTTTTATTCTAGTGTCTGTTTTTTCGAACGCAGCTTGTATATTTGGACATGAAATAATGTTGTTCAGACACCCATTGGTTGATTGTTGAACCAAAATTAACAGCTGATGCTTTTTGTTCTTTGTTTCATGTGCTGGTTGTAACTAACCGGCCAACAACAGTTATTTCTTATTTTGGTTTCCCACGAATTTAAAAATGAGAAAAGAAAAAAATTTACTAATGATGCAAATTTTTTTTATAAGAGATTTAGTTGAATTGGTAAGGATTTAATACTTTGTTGTGCATTATTGAATTGATAAAGATTTAATAATTTGGATGTATCTTTGCTAATAATTTATTTTCAATCAAATTTTCATGGAAAACCTCTTAAACGTTTATGTAACTTCCGCGTTTGATGGACGGCAAATAGGTTAAAATTGCAATAGCATCCACCCAAAAAGGCCAAGGGACATTAAATATTCCGAATTTACTGTTAGGTAAACAATATTCTTCCGTTGATCGTGGGGATTTTCCCACGAAGAGCATTGTCCTTTCCTCCATTAAAAAAGAAAGGCCAGAAAGATAGGGGCATGCAGGTTGTTAACTAAACACGAAGAAGAAAACAAGTCCAAAAAGAAAACCTTTCACCCGATCGGCTATTTTAAGCTGTTAAATATATATTTGGGCGAGCGGCGATTTGACAGCATGTTTTCAGACAAAGTTTCCGAAATTTACAAACCCCACAATCAGTTTGGACCCAGCATCATCACCCACTTAAAGGACGGCAATCCCTACTCGGGTTTTTTTTTTTTTTTAATAAATCTCTTTCTCTTTGCTTCTGGTGACCCACATCCACAAGGAAGCACCAGAAAATACCTAACTCAAAAATCTTATCACTGACTTCAGTAGTTATAACTTTAGTGGTTAGCGTGGCCAATTTGCAACAACTGCTGAGATGTGTAGGCCACTGCCTGTTCCCTCTTCCCCACTCTCTTCTCTTTTTCTGATTGAGAACTTTATTTTTTTTTAGTTTAAAAGTAAAAATTATCTCGACAAAGCAAATCATCTACTCATAAAAAAATATATAATTTTTTTTTATTTTTAGAAAATTTTTAGACTTATAAATGCTTCTGGTTGAGAACTTTAAAAGCAAAATCCCCCCTCTCTTCTCTCTCCTAACACTAAAGGCTTCTGCAAAAATTGAAAAATATTTTTTAATTACAATTGCAAATTATGATCATAATTAAATATTTAGGTTTATATCAAACTAACAAATTAAAATGTAATTAAATAAATTTAACGTAAAATTAAATCAGTTCAAAAAAAAAAAAAAAAAACAAGTAGTTAAAAGATAGAAAGTTACCCATTTTTTACACTAGCCAAAATTTTTCACCATCAAATCCCAAATATCAAAAGAAAAAAAAAAAGAGTGCCTAAATAGAGAAACCAAAAGTTTTTTCATTATACTAATAATTAATACAAAGGCTTCATCATTTCTTCAGCCATCACTGAGACTTACCTCCGCCACTGTGGCGCACGTTAGCTACTGACCCCATGGTGCATGTTAGCAACCAGCCCCCTCCCCCCCTTCTTTCTCAGCACAGCGGCCGTAAGAGACGGACCAAATTTACAACTTTGTAATCATAATAATTGGAGGGTCATGATTAAATCAACTTTTTTTTTCCTTTTTACTTGCTTGCCCAATCACCATCCGAATCCTCCGGGTCGGGCATCTTGTTCAAGTCGACCCGCTGTAGAAACCCGTCACTTGGCTTCAACTCATCGCCATAACTACGATTGTAATTCTGATTAAGATTATAACTATGACCATGATGATTATGGTGGTTGTTGTGATGATGACCTGCCTCAAGAGCATCAACTCTAGCACCAACTTCAATAGCTTTTTTCCTTATAAAAGCCGCCGACAATTCTCCACCGAGTGAGGCGCCGCCAACTTTCTCTCCCGCCAAAAGGTCAGGAAAATTCAACCTAGCAGACGGCCCACGTAGGTAAAAAACCGCCGTATCATAAGCTCTGGCCGCCGCAACGGGGGTGGAATAAGACCCTAACCAAATCCTCGACCGTTTATTCGGTTCCCTTATCTCAGCCACCCATTTCCCCCACTTTCTCATCCTTATCCCTTTGTACGGCCTTTCCGTAGACTTCCTCGAACTCTCCCTTGAAGCAACAACTCCTGTTCCATTTTCCATGGTTTCCAATCGAATTTCTTCGAGAAATTCTACGTTTCTTAGCTTCGGACGTGTTCTGTCTTTGGTTATGGAAGAGTTGGGTCTTTATTAGGACATGAGAAGAACTAGGAAAGGGGAGAGTTGAGTTTTTGAGATGGCATGGTGGTTTGTTTGTGTCATGTGTTTTAAGGTTACACGTTGAAATGTTTTTCAGAGACGCACCCAAAGTATATGAGAGAACTGAGAAACAAAGAGAGATAGAAGAAACCGAAGAAGAAAAAAAAGGAAAAAAAATCCAAATTCACCGACACAAATCTGTGTGAAGTAAGGGATATGTTTTTTTTTTTTTAATTTAAATGTTATAATTGGGAAAAATACAGGGCTTAGACGTAGATGCCTTAATCTTGGCATCTTGGGGTTGTTTGGCATTGTTTTGGAAATAAATAAATATTTTTAATGATTTTCATAATGGGCTTTTTTTTTTATTGAGAAGAAGATGTAATTATATGAATAAATATTTAACTTGTTTTTATTTTAAAAAATCTGAAAATAACATAAAAATTTTGAAATTTGTCTTAATTATATATAGGATAAATTAAATATTTTCAAAGGAATAAGAATATGAAAAAGTTGAGACTCCAATTTAAAATTTTTTTTAAAATAATTATATAAATATATTAATGTCTATTTAAATGGTTTTATTAATTATTTAATTCAATTAATTTATGATAATGAAATCTTAATTTAGTGACAAGGATAATGTCTTAAAATCTGAGTTCTTAAATAAAAGTTTAACTGTGTGTATTTAATTTAAATTTATGTTGAATTTGTTTAATTATTTAGTAATTTTTTATATTTAAATATATATTATTATTATAATTTATATTCATAATTTCATAAAATATTTTAATTAATTAATTTAATAATTTTTAAAAATATATTCAATGATTTTAAATTTTAGTATTTATAATTTTTTATTCTTTAATTATGATTTTTTATAAAAAATAATAAAACATATTTTAAATAATGAGATTAAACAGGTCTCATTGGGGTTAGGTTTATACTTCAAATGGTTTAATCATTGATTAAAGGAGAAAATAAATTAATTAGATAAATAATTGTGTATTTGGCAGACGGTGATTGGGATTGTCGTTTTGTGGGCAAGTGAAGTGGATTTCAAAGGTTAAGAAAACGAAATGTCTTTTGTTCTTTTTCAAGTTTTTTAATTTAATTAAATTAATTATTAATTTCTGAGGAGGCAAACAAGAGCAAAGGCGTAGGTCGGTGGTCGGTTGATAGATACCGTTGGGAATTGACTTTCCCTCTACGCAACAACGATACGAGTGGATGTCCATTTTTGTCCATGTCATATTTCGTTTTCCGACGATAAATTTGAGGATAAAATTGGAAAGTTTTAATAGTCTTTTATGGCCCACCAACCAAAATTAATAGGGCAATTCCATCCCCTTTTGTCATATTATTAATGGACGGCCTAATTATTTATGCTTCGTCTTTTTAATTTGCGGGATTGCATACCATTTCTTCTCTCTTTGTATTTATGACAAAAAGGTCAAAAAAAAAAAAAAGAGCTTTTCAATTAAAATTCAATAATAATTAAATTTTTAAATATTTATTTTTATCGATTAAGCTTTTATTAGAGAAAAAAATAATTAATTATTTTTATCTAATCGATAGTTTAATTAAATAAAAATAGATATATAAAATTTTAATTAAGTAAAAATAAATATTTAAAAGTTCAATTAATTTAAAATAAAATTTTTAAAACTTAATTAATTATAATAAAATATCAAAAATTTAATTGATAAATAGTTTTTTACTCGAAGGCTTTTTTGACTCTTAAACCTTAATTTAATAATGTATTGTTATACCATAGATTTCGTAGAAAATATCAAGTATCGCAGACAATTACATGAATTTCATTATAACAAGTCATGTGTAATATAACAACTTTTCTAGGTCTTATAGTATATAAATTATAAATGAAACTTTGGATATTAATTTATGATTTTTGGAGGAGGGAGTGGGGTTTTGCAACCTTTATTTATGATATTTTTGGAAGTGGTAAATGTTGAAATATTTTTAAAATTTAGTAAAAAATAAAATTTAATTGATTAAATATGATGTATTAATCAATGAAATTAGAAAGTAATGATTAAGAAGCTATTTAATAGTTTGGGAAAGTTTCAAACTAAAAAAATGATTTAAGACATGAAAAATAGCTTTTGTTTTAATATTACTATATGACACTTGGATATTGGATCAACTATATTTAAATGTCATACTTAGACATGAGGCATTTAAATATCCGTGTCATATCCGAAAGGTCATTTGGTATGATAATGCTTTTGGCTAGACATTAAATGTGATGATTTAATTAAAAAGAACTACAAGTGTAGGAAAATCCTTACTCGTAAAGTTTTAGTCGTAGAATAAAGATAAGTATGAACTTAAAATATCTATCGAATACGGATAAAAAATGAATATAATGTAAAAATATAAAATCAAATATAAATAATACTCTAGTTATTCTATACCTGTTAAGTTGACATCCTTATACACCTTCAACTCTTACAAAGACAAACTATTGAATAACTTGTCATTTAACAAAGGTATCTTAAAAAGAAGGATTACACCAATAAGTGAGGCATGAAAATTTTTAATGGAAAGATAATTCAAATCCATTCTTTTATGAATAAAATTAAAACATATACATGTTTATCATTGAGTCAAATATTTTATCGTAACGAAATGAAAATTTTGATACTTAATAAAAGGAATTAATATATATATATCCTTACATAAAAATGTGATAACATCAAATATAAAGGTGTTTATGAGTAAAATTTTTTATTTTTTGAAAATTTTAATTTATTTTTACATCTTTTTATCTTATTACACATCTGGTTGAAGAAGATATTACGTATTTAAATTCTCACAAACTCGTAATTTATAAATATCAACTTTAACGACATACTAATTGATCCAAAAGATTGTAAACGTTTATAAGTTAAAATTTTAAAAAAATGAATATTTTGATTGATTACATATTTTAAGCATGTGCAATGTCGACTTTCATTTAAATGAATGTGAAGAAGCAATTTAAGACAAGCAAAATCGAGACAAAAAGGAGTAGGTTGAAATAACATAATTAAACAAAGCTAAAGGAAGATCCTACGTCTAATTTTCTCTTATAGAGTATGACTTTAAATCGTATAGATCAAAGAAAAAATGCTAATGCTTTGGGTCGTAGGCAAATAGGTTGAACATTTTCAAGCTTGGTTTAATAAATATCAAACAGATGACAATGAAATTGGTTGAGTTAGTAAAATTTGATTTTTTTTAAGATTTAAATTTGAGCTTCATTATCAATAATTCTTTTTATAAATGATTTGTAAATTTAATTTGTCTTTTTTTTAAGCATGTTTTCTCTCTTATCCTTAACATTTCTTGAAAAAAAATATAGCAATTATCTTATGAATTAAGAGAGTAGCCAACAAAGAAAACTTGGGATTTTGTTTTATTGGTTGGATGATTTTTAGACAAAGATTATTATGCTTCTCAAGCAAGAGGCCAAGCAAAAACAGCTGTGGGAGTCATTGATGGGATTCGAGCCCACGTGAAACCTATCTCTTACCAGAGACAATCACAGAAAGCAGGGTTGATGCACTTCCATTGCAATGAAATTCTAAGCCTCCTTTTGATATAACAGTACATTAATAGTATCGAGATTAGGGTTGTAATTGATTAAGTTTAAGTTAATATAGTATTAAGTTTGAATTTAATTTGAAATTCAAAACTTGAAATTTTGTTCAAATTCAATTAAATTTTATTTTTTATAACTCGAATTAAATTCGAAATAAAAATTGAACTATTTAAATTTATTCGATTAAGTTTGATTAATATGTAAAAATAAATTTAATTTTTATATTTAAAAAAATTTTAATTATTTATATTTAAGTTCGAATTCAAAATATTTTATTAATTAAAATAATTAAAATATAAAAATTCGATTAAACTTACGAGTTATTTGAATCAAATATAAAAATATTCGAATTTAACTCGATCGATTAATTGAACTATTTGAGTTCAAACTTAACTCGATAATAATCAAACTAAATTTAAATTTTATTCACGTTAAACATGAATAACTAATAAATACTAATATATCATTGATATATGTGAGATTAAAAAATAGCCATAGAATAACATTGAATCCACGACATACCAATGGTTTTTCAAATAACTTTAGAGAATGTCCTAAAAACATTTATTAGCAAATTTCATCTTTTAAAATATGTTTAAAACTTTGAATCTAATGAAAGTAACACGATAAAATGATTTTTTACATAAAAAAGTTTGAAATCGTAATTTAAGATAAAAAATATCATAAATATTATATATATATATATATATATATAGTCTTCCACTTATTTTAATATGTGGAGCTGTCTTTGCTTTGGAGGTACATTGCTTTACGACAACTAATTAACGTTGTTTGTAGTAGTGCTTATTTTTTTGTTAATTAAGACACAGACAGGTTGTTGCAAGAGAATTGATTAAATTAAACAGTTTGGGATTGATTTTTTCCTCCCCAAATCCTCATTCGTCCGATTGCAAAATGGAGCTGTGCCATGACGTGCTACCCTAGACATCTTGTTAGGGCTCAATTAAAATAGACAAAGACTATTCTCTTGTTGATTTGTTTTTTTTTTTTTTTAATGGGATATTCTCTTTTAGAGTTCATGGATATCAAATAGTTATAATGGAAAATGTTTGTGATTCTTTCAATGTCATAATCATTTTTTTACATAGAAACTCAAATATTTTGTCAACTTTATCAAACACTCTGCTAAACAAATGATTAATTAATAAAACATAAACGTGATAGATATTAAATTCAATAGTTATTTTAATTGATTTATATAATTATTTTTAAAATATTATTTAATAATTTTAAATTTTAAATTTGATCAACATATATATATATTTTTTATTTTTATATTACAACTTTTTTTTTTTTAAAGCAATGGATATACGTAGAGTTTGATGTAAAAGTTTGACAATCCATGCATGCTTGGCCGACCAAACGTCTCGTCTTATGCCTTACTACCGGTGACTTTTAGCTGTTAGTTAGGATGGGTATTGAATATCTTCTTTATTGCCAAGTGGTGGACAAGTATTTGATTTTTCAGTTTTCATTAGATTTAGTAATTTATGAATTTGTATTATATAAAATATTAATATTTCATATGAAAATAATGTATCATAATTTGGATGTTAATATGAAAATATAAAAATATTTTTTAAATTTTATTAAATTTA